ATGATGCGCTGCTGCCCCACCTCTACTGCCTCATGGACCAGGTGGGTATGTGTGCGTCCATGCTTGAGGCGCCTCAGAAAAAAGCTGTACTCGGGTGCTTGCATGGGTGATACCCACCTGCCCCACCTCTACTTCCTCATGGACCAGGTGGGCGGGTAGGGGGTGGGCGGCTGGGAGATAGGGTGACTGTGAATGAATGTGTGAGCTGCTGTACCCGGTTCGTGCATGGGTGACGCGCTGCTGCCCCACCTCTACTTCCTCATGGATCAGGTGGGCGGGTTATGTGGGAGTGACTGGGAGAGAGGATGACTGCGAATGAGTGTGTGAGGGTGATTGGGTGCAATGGTGATCGGGAGTGATAGTGATCATATCAAAAGGAATCTCCTTGTCCATGTTGTCTCCCTCTCATGTGTTCCTCGTGTTTCCTCCGCCACCCGTGCTTCCTATCCCATTTCCCCTCCCCATGGTGTGTGAACCCCACGGGGCACGGCTGTGCCACCAGGTGGAGTCAGATCCCTCGCTCTGGTTCAATGATGCGCAGCCATCCGAGGCTCTCAAGGTCAGCTCCCTGCAAATACATTCTCACATGCCCTGTCACTTGTCTTCTCACATGCCCTCGCACATGTCTTCTCGCTTGGCCGCTCGCATGCCCTCTCACATGCCTTTCCATAAGCCTTCCCGTTGGCCTGAACACTGACGCGCTGTTTCTGGTGCATTCCTCGCACTCCCATGCGTGTGCACAACTTTCTCTCACCACGCGCACCATGTCCGTTGACTTTTGAAGCGCCTCATAAGTTGGTTCTTGTGCACTCCTCTCCTCGCGCTCCCACGCGTGTGCAGAACTTCCTGTTCATGACGCTGACCGTATCGGATGCGGCATCAGAGGTGCTGGCGGGGCGGGACCGCCTGGTGCTGCAGCTGCTCACACAGTACGGGCTGGCGCTGCTCACACTCATCTGCCATGACAAGGCCTGGGAGGACAGCCACAACTTCGTCGGGCCCACCGGGCTGCAGCAGGTGGGTGTTTGGGCTGCAGCAGGGGCGTGTTTGGGCTGCAGCAGGTGGGTGTTTGGGCTGCAGCAGGTGGGTGTTTGGGCTGCAGCAGGTGGGTGTTTGGGCTGCAGCAGGCGTGTGTTTGGGCTGCAGCAGGTGGGTGTTTGGGCTGCAGCAGGTGGGTGTTTGGGCTGCAGCAGGTGGGTGTTTGGGCTGCAGCAGGTGGGTGTGGGCGATGCAGCAGGTGGGTGTGGGAGAGGCAGCAGGTGCGTGTTTGGGCTGCAGCAGGTGGGTGTTTGGGCGCCAGCAGGTGGGTGTTTGGGCTGCAGCAGGTGCGTGTTTGGGCTGCAGCAGGTGGGTGTTTGGGCTGCAGCAGGTGGGTGTTTGGGCTGCAGCAGGTGGGTGTTTGGGCTGCAGCAGGTGGGTGTGGGCGATGCAGCACGTGGGTGTGGGAGAGGCAGCAGGTGCGTGGTTGGGATACCTAAAGGCCGAAGCCCACACAGTACGGGCTGGCGTTGCTCCCATCTCCACTGCTCCCTTCTCCTCTCTCCCCTGCCCCTCCCCCTCTCCCACTGCAGTTCCTGATGGACATCTCATTCCTCAAGGAGGTGGCGGCACGCTACCACTTCACATCACGGCAGCTGCAGCAGGTGGCGCCCTGTCCACTGACTTTTGAGTCGACTAAAAAGCCAGCCACTGCCGCCACCTCTCTCCTTCTCTCCCTCCCTCCCTCCCTCCCTCCCTCCCTCCCTCCCTCCCTCCCTCCCTCCCTCCCTCCCTCTCACTGCAGTTCCTGATGGACATATCGTTCCTCAAGGAGGTGGCACTTCACTGCCTGCTCGGCCCATCCTCACCACTGTTCCCCCACTCCCCCCTTTTTACCCATCCAGTTCCTGATGGACATATCGTTCCTCAAGGAGGTGGCGGCGCGCTACCACTTCACATCACGGCAGCTGCAGCAGGTGGCCGACACCAGCATGGAGCGCGCCCGCGAGTCCTTCGACCTCAACCGGTCAGTGCAGGGGTGGTGGGGATGTTGGATGCTGGGGATGAAGATGGGGATGGGAAGTGGGATGGCAGCTGCAGCAGGTGGCCGACACCAGCATGGAGCGTGCCCGCGAGTCCTTTGACCTCAACCGATAGGCGTGGTTGGTGGGGCAGTGGGAGGCTGCGGATGGGTATGGGGCCCCATGCAATGTCGCTCTTGCATGCAGACCCACTACCATGCAAACTTACTACCCTGCAAACTCACTGCTTTTCATACGCGTTCTGCAATGTGCTGCAGGGAGTGCCCGGGCGATGAGAAGTTCAGAGAGCTGGCTCAGCAAGCGATTGAAAGGCATCTAATTGACAAAGGCTATCAATAGCCACACAAGAAAAGGTTGATTTTAGCAGGCATGCTGTATAATATGTTTCCTCTACTTCATAGAATTGACAGTAGCTTGTGAAGAAAATGCCTCCGCAATCAAGATCAGAGCATCCAAATGTAGCTTACATTGTCAATATGCATTAGCCTTATTTAGAATATGCATTAGCCTTATTTAGTACATGTTAACACTTTTTCTGTACAGTGCGATGCCCAGCGAATCGAAATGATGCTGGAACCTCAGGGATCTCCACGTTTCCTGCGTGCTTTACGTGGCGCCCGCAAATATCTACTCGGTCTTCGCTATAATGCTGCCATCAACCTAGCCAACCAGTCCATTCAAGCTCGAGAAGCATTTCATTCCTCTTCTTCTCATCTCCAATCCGCCCTTGTTTTATCACTCATCCCGCTTCCTTCAGCTCGGCGGTGCAGCTGTTTCGCTGTCTGCCGCCGTCACTCGCGTCGTGAAAAAACGCCTTCTCGTTATTGTCCTCGCTCCTCCGTGATCAATTCCGTTTGCTTTTCTTCCGTACCGCGTTCCATAGTGGCCTGAGCCGCTCGCCCCTAGACCTCGTGACATTCCATGGCGTCGGCTGTTGCCGTAACTCCCGCGATCAGCGGCCTCGCGACTTCACGCGCCGCTGCGACTGTATCGCGCGATTCAGCTCACGTGCGACAACATGCGACGGCAGCGCTGTCGCATCCGCTTCGCGCACGCGGCATTCGGGGTCTGCGATCGGACAGCTTCAGGGGCAAATTGGCGAGAGCGGGGACGAGCAGCCAATCAGCGTTCTCTGTTCAATGCAACCTCGTGGTATGACGGCATGCTGGATCCATGGCTATATCCTTCATCAATGACAAACGAAAAACAAAAAAAACAATACGGAAAAAAAAAACAAGGATAGATATAACCGGAGACAAGTACTGAAGAATACATGATAATCGCCTCAATTCTTGTCCCCAGTCCCCCGTCCCTCTCCTCCCCCTCTCCCCCTCCCCCCCCACCGTCCCGCGGGCAGCGCAAAGTGAACGGGAAGGAGCTGGACGCGTTGCTGTCGGGCGATCGGCCGCTGCCGATGGTGATCGACTTCTACGCCACGTGGTGCGGCCCCTGCATCCTCCTCGCACAGGAGCTGGAGCAGGTCAGTTTCTAGTGACGCACCTCAAGAATAGTAGTGCCGCTCTTTGAGTTGACTCACTTGCCGACTTCCACGCCACGTGGTGCGGCCCCTGCATTCTCCTCGGACAGGAACTCGAACAGGTGCGCCGTTTGACTCAATTCATGCCCCCCATACCCATAATACCCCTATCCCCCCATACTCCCATACCCCTCATGCCTCCATGCCCTCATACCCCTCATGCCCCCATGCTCCCATACCCCTTGTTCTCACGCTCCCATGCTTCCATGTCCCCATACTCCCATACTCCCATACTCCCATACTCCCATGCCCCCATGCCGCCATGCCCCCATGCCGCCATGCCCCCATGCCGCCATGCCCCCATGCCGCCATGCCCCCATGTTGCGCTGCCGCCGTTCCCCTTGTGCAGCTAGCAGTGGAGTACCATGGAGAGGTGCTGTTTCTCAAGGTGGACACGGACGAGGAGTACGAGCTCGCCAACCAGCTCGAGGTGCGTGCCTGTGCCGAGCCGACACATGCCCTCGCACTCACACTTTCTCGCTCCCTCACTCACACGCACGCTCACATACACACCTCCTGCGCGTGCCCACACGGACGAGTATGAGCTTGCCAATCAGCTCGATGCCTGCGCCCATGCCCTCGCACTCGCACATTCGCACACATTTGCTTAATCGAACGCTCACTCCCTCAAAACACATGGTCGCTCTCAAGTACATTCACACCCCTCATATGCTCTCTACATACCTCCCCTCACACCTCACTCCAACCGCAAACCCTCAACCCTCTTCCCCATCGCGCGTGCTTTCCCTCCCTCCCATGCCCGATCCCTCCGCACCATCCCTCGCCATATCCAGATCCGTGGGCTACCCACAGTGGTGTTTGTGAGCAAGGATAAGTCAAAGCTTGCCGTCCGCACCGAGGGCTTGCTACCCATTGCGTCCATCAAGCAGCTGATCGAGGAGATGTAGATAGCGCATGATTATGGTGATTGTCATCCCAGCAACAAGTCCAGAGCTTTTGTATTCATTATTGTCACACTGGTGTGGCATAGTAAGTCTAGGGAAAATGTCATTAGCTCTCAAAACCTTGGACAAGGTGCAGAGCTTTTGCATGTGCAGCACATTCAGCTGCCAGTTTTTCACATTAACATGTTTCGGGTCACAGCTCAACGCGAGATAGGTGCCGTGAGCTCAATCTCAGCCTGAAGAAATGAATAAAGGTAGATCATTTGCAGTGAATTTTGCACTCCATTTCCGAGTCTGTACAGGCCTGGTCATTGACCTTATTGGAAAATGCTGTCAGGTATCCTCCTGCTGAGTCTCTGCTATTTGCTACATCTTCCAGTTACGGTACTTTTCACTCGACTAAGAATCACTGCCTTTGGCTCCATCCGTATCCTGCTGAACCTGTGGTGTTTGTGGTATCTGCCGGTATCCGTCATTCTTGTGGAGTCAACTGTTGTCCCCAAAAGCTGGTACCATTTGCTCTGCACCCAATGCGCATCACCGCTCCATCTGCTGCGTCTCCTGCAGGTGCTCCAGATGCCTGGCAGTTTCCGATGGTGGTCGGTCCACTGTGGGGTGTGTTGGCCCTGCCACCAGCTCCAAGTCAAACTCACGGGTCTCCCTGTACTCCTGCGTGGGCATCATGGTTGGTGGTCATGAGGGCATTGAAGTGTGTAGGGACACGAGTACATGGCACATGGGTGTCTGGGCCCTGCCACAAACTCCAAGTCAAACTCGCGTCTCTCCCTGTATTCCTGCATGCGCATCATGGTTGGGGGTGGGTGTGACATGCACACATGGATTGAAGATGAGGGCACATGAGAGTACGGGCACAGTGGGGTGCGTTGGCCCCGCCACCAGCTCCAAGTCAAACTCGCGGGTCTCCCTGTACTCCTGCATGCGCTGGATAAACCTCCAAGGGCCACAGCGGCAGCAGCAGCAGCACTACCTGACAAAGCACGTACGTACGGATCGTAGCAGCACTACCTGACAAAGCACGTACGGATCGTAGCAGCACTACCTGACGAAGCACGTACGGATCGTAGCAGCACTACCTGACGAAGCACATACGGATGGTAGCACCTGACAAAGCGCGCAGGGGTGGCAGCAGCAGTGGGCGGCAAAGTCGTCCATGGTTCGTTCGTGCAGCCCCTTCTTGTGGCGCAGCTGGCGGCGAATAGACTCCGCATAGCACGGCACACACGTGAACCAGTAGGCCAAGGGACCGAGGATGAACGAGAGAGGAACGCCCCAACACCCGCCCACCAGGCAGTACGTCGCGAAGGCCCTGCGGATGGGGAGGCGAGGGAGGAGAAGGGAGATGATGGGTGGTGATGGGCGGTGTGGGGCGGTGAGGCCATTCAGGGCATTCAACAGCCAAGCCAGAAAACGATATTCAGGGCGCCGTCTAGCTCGGAAGAGGAGGAGGCGACTCGCCTCGAGAACTGCACGCGCCCGTCGGTGATCTTGCGCGCCGTCTGCGCGAAGAGGTAGCACGGCGCGCAGCACCCGAGCGCCGCGGCGCGGGGATCCCGAGGGAAGTCCTTTAGCCCCGAGTTCCACTCGCCCTTGCCGCGCCGGTGCAGCCACGACTGCCGCTGCTCGAACGGCCGCTCGCACGCTTTGGGATCCGACTCCGCCTCCGCCTCCGCCTCCGCATCTGCCCTCCGGTCATGCGCCCCTCCCTCTCCGCCGCCTCCCCCACGATCCCCCCCGCCGCTTCGTCCTCCTTGCTCAGCCATTTCCTATTCCTCGAACTACGACAGCGAAGAATCGAAGCGTCGGCGAGGCTAGGCCTGTGTTGCGTGCTCCCCGGTTTTGCGTCTCGCGCCAGCCGTGCTGCCGTCATGCCGTCACGCAGACGGCTTTCGGCGAGACCCCCCTCGGTGCATTCGACTTCTCCCTCCGTAGTTTTGTCACCGGGGCCACGAGAGCAGATTGTGTGCTTCGTCGTTGCTTTCCTCCTCTTTCACCGTACCCTTTGGTGATTCGGGTGGCAGGCAGTGGTGACGTGGCGCGAAACGAGGCATGATGAGCGCTTGAAGGCGCTTCGATGAAACCTGTCCATTCCAGCTAGTGACATTTTCTAGGAGGGGGTGGGGGGGGTTGTGTGGTATGGGGGAAATGCAGGTCGAGACATTAGCGAGTGGTAACCCGTCGCTGCACGCGTGCGTTGAATGCGAAACTGACGAATACGGGCCAATTTCCCCCTTCAACAAAGCAACGATCTGAAAGAGCTATTGAAGCCATATCTTCCACTCATCTACCATTATACACATATGTGTTTTCTAGGCTTTGCAGCATATGGCAGCAATGCTGGCATCACTGCTGCTTTCACTCCAGCTCACGAAGGAAGTCCTGGTTGTCGACAAACACCTGCAAGCAATGTAACAACAGCCAAAATAGCAATGTAAGCGGTTGATAATATCCCAAAAAATCACTGCATGTTGGCCGAATAATTTACTCATCCTCACCGTTTTGTACCCATCGGGGTCAAGGCAAGCCACGATTTTGGTGTTAATGCCAGGGATCGGGCCCGGCTCGCGAGTGATGGTGCCGCCCGCCGCCCGAATGGCCTCTGCTGTCTTATACACATCGTCTGTTCCAATCGCAATCTGGAGGATAGCAGGATCGCAGCACAGAGCAGGGACGAATGGGGATGGAGATTACGGTAGGTAAGACAACGGCACAAGTCAAGTGAAAGAGATGCCACTGTGGAGAGCGATATATACAAAAGCAAGAGGGGAAAGCGATAAGGGAAGCATTTGAAACGCATGACAGGAGAGAGCAGCAAAGGCGCAACAACAGGAGAAAGAACCACCTAGGAAACACCTGGAAAACAGCATTCAGGCAACACTGCAGTACTTGAGCAAGCACATGGTAGTACCTGTGCATAGGCATTGCCCTTTTCATAGGACTCAACGCCGTAGTTGTATGTGAGCTCCACCACTGCACTCTCTGCCTCGGGCCCATACCCCACCATGGCTATCGTGTACTGTCAGGGAAGGGAGGGGACAGGAGGGCATGGGAGCGAAGAGGTGGGTCAACACAGCAGGTTGACACAGCAACAAGGTAAGCGGAGGGGTGGTGGAGGGGTGGTGGAGGAGGGGTGGAAAATAGTGGTGGGGGAGGGGTGGAAGAGAGTGGTGGGGGAGGGGTTGTGAAAACACAGATGCAGCAGAGGGAAGCCAAGGTGCAGCAGCAGGGGCTTTCCTGAAAATCAAGGTGCAGTTGCAGCGGCAAAGGAGGGGTGTGTGGATACCTTGTACTGTGGGTTGTCCCTTGTCCTCAGCAGCTTCATGCCATATGCCTGCAAGCAGGCATGGGCGTGATTCATGAACACGGAGGCAGAGGAGGGATTGATGGCGAGGCGATTATGAGCACAACACAACACAGAAGGTGTGATGGGTACGCAGGCACATAAAGCAGTGAGGTGTGACCACGGGTGGCAAGGGACTGGAGAGGCGAATGAGGCAGCTGTCACAAGCCAAACAGCCGCTCAGCGGGGGAGGTGCATGGCAGCAGGTGCATGGCAGCAGGTGCATGGCAGCAGGTGCATGGCAGCAGGTGCATGGCAGCAGGTGCATGGCAGCAGGTGCATGGCAGCAGGTGCATGGCAGCAGGTGCATGGCAGCAGGTGCATGGCAGCAGGTGCATGGCAGCAGGTGCATGGCAGCAGGTGCATGGCAGCAGGTGCATGGCAGCAGGTGCATGGCAGCAGGTGCATGGCAGCAGGTGCATGGCAGCAGGTGCATGGCAGCAGGTGCATGGCAGCAGGTGCATGGCAGCAGGTGCATGGCAGCACGTGCATTTGAGCATGGGGTTGACTATCCTGGCACCATGAACGCCATGAGATTGTGTGGCAGCCCGGTGTGTGACAGCATGCATGGGACGGAGGGATGCGATGGGAGGGATGCGATGGGAGGGATGCGATGGGAGGGATGCGATGGGAGGGATGCGATGGGAGGGATGCGATGGGAGGGATGCGATGGGAGGGATGCGATGGGAGGGATGCGATGGGAGGGATGCGATGGGAGGGATGCGATGGGAGGGATGCGATGGGAGGGATGCGATGGGAGGGATGCGATGGGAGGGATGCGATGGGAGGGATGCGATGGGAGGGATGCGATGGGAGGGATGCGATGGGAGGGATGCGATGGGAGGGATGCGATGGGAGGGATGCGATGGGAGGGATGCGATGGGAGGGATGCGATGGGAGGGATGCGATGGGAGGGATGCGATGGGAGGGATGGCATGGGAGGCGCAGGTGGGTGTATGCACCTTTTCATAAAACTTAATTGCCCTGTCCAGGTCCCCCACTCGCAGCATGACCTGCATGGTGCCATGGTGACGTGGTGAGATGGAGGGATGGAGCCATGGCGGCATGGCGGCATGGCGGCATGGTGAGGTGGAAGCATGGTGACATGGTGACATGGAGTCATGATGGCATGATGACATAGTGGCATGGAGCATAACGGCTAGCTCACACATAAAGCATGATGATTTCCACAATTTCTGAGTTGCAGCATACTGAGAAAAACGAGCAGCACGTGACAGGGCATCCGAACCTGACACAGTGGCTCGGGAGTAGGTGGCCGCTGAATAATCTCCCACTTGTACCCAGACGGGTCCTGTGATTCGGAAGATTGATGTGGAGGAGGAAGAGGAGGGGGGAATGGAACACATGGCAATGGGAAGGGCGCAGGTAGGCACATGTGCGGGACGATGAATCGTCAAGGGAAAGGATTGAAGAGATGCAATGCAAGAATTAGGAAAGAATGACGCATGAGGCGATTTTTCACTTGGCTAAAGAAGGTTGAATGAATTCTCAAGGAAGAAGATCCACCGAGGGGGAGGTGGGGATAGAGAAGAAAGGACACATCAGCCACACCACACACTGCATGGTAGCCTGCCACCATGCCATCACATCACCATGCCATTACATCAACATGCCATCACACACAGCACCATGACACCATGCCAGCATAGCATCACGCCACCATAGCATCACGCCATCACGCCAACATGCCACCATGCCATGACAGCATCACAGCTAAGGATACGGACCTCAACGAAAGCGATGACGCTCTGTCCGCCCTTCACAGGGCCAGCCTCGCGAGTCACCTTGCCGCCCCGCGACTTCACCACCTCCACCGTCTTGTACACCTGCACAGGGGAGAGGTAAACCTCTGAATCCCTGCTCTCAACAACTCTGGGAGAGAATCATTTATGCAATGGCTTGGCCCGGCCTGGTCAGTGCACTGGCTGCATGGCTGACAGCCATGCCCAGTGCACTGGCAAAACCTGAGATTTCGTACAGCTTAGTGTTTGGTTGTGACAAATGGCGTGGCTCACATCATCAACAGAGATGCCGAAGTGCCCAAAGCCCGCTCCAATGTCATACGAGTCCACCCCGTGGTCTGGCCGCACAACAAGGCCATGGGCAGGGCAGGGCAGGGCAGGGAAGCAGTGCAAGGGAGGAGTGGGGGGAGAGATTCATTTAGCCCAATACCATAACACGCCAGGACACTATAAGCGACCTCGCTACTCACTATAAGTGTCTTCGTTACTCACTATTAGTGACCTCGGTACTCACTATAGGTGACCTCGCTACTCACTACAGGCGACTCACTACTGGTGTCCTTGGTACTCACTATAGGTGAGTGACCTCGGTACTCACTACAGGTGACCTCGGTACTCACTACAGGTGACCTCGGTACTCACTATAGGTGACCTCGGTTCAGTACTCACTACAGGTGACCTCGGTACTCACTACAGGTGACCTCGGTACTCACTATAGGTGAGCTCCACGACAAACGTGGAGGTCTCGGGCCCGTAGCCGAGGAAGGCGTTGGAGTACTTCTCCTCGGGAATGTCGCGCTGCCTCAGCAGCTTCATTCCCAGACACTCCGTGTAGAACCTGCAGGCCGACAGAGATTAGTCACAACTTGCAGCGTGAAGACGAGCAACTCAACCACAGCGCCCAGTCAACGACCAGGGAGGTGAGAGGAGACGAGGGGGAGGCGAGCGGGAGGCGACTCGCAGCATGCGACGGTTGTCGCGCGACACAACTCCGCCAGCTCGTGCGACGGTAAACGACTGAGCTACGCACTTGATAGCGGCGTCCAGGTTCCCAACGCGGTAGACGACGTGCAGCATGCGACGGTTGTCGCGCGACAAGAACTCCGCCAGCTCGTCGCTGCCCGCTGCGGCCGTTGACCCCCCATCCGCCGCTGACGCTGACGCCATGACCACGCGCGATCGAGACGCCCGCCGAACAACAGGGAGAGACGTCGAGGCGTGGTCACGCTCGGGAGAATTATAGTTTCTCCTGGAAAAAAACAAACAAGACGAGGGGATAATGACCTCGTCACTTTCGCGAAGTTGAAAAAGGGTAACAACCAGCTGATCTTACTGGGTAAGGCAGAAAATGGCAGTAAAAGCAGGCTCACAAGATCAGTTGTCGCACGCCGTTGAATGCAGTAGCACCGCTGGATAGACGAGGGGATCGGCTGATGGCAACGATGCGAGACGCGAGAGGCGAGGCGAGCGCTGCTGCCATGGCAATTTCAAAAAGCACTAGCTGTTGGGAATCGTAGCTTCGGAAACTAGAAATGTTGGGACGGAATTCATTAGTACGAACAGCAGCAATGCATGCAAAGCTAGTTACCACGTTCTAGTGAACGAACGAACGAACAATTCGTGAGAGGCGCGATTTGTAACGAAATCGGTTACGACAGCAAACCAGCGCCAAATGCGAAGAACCCACTCTCTCCCCTCCTCTTCGAGCAGAATAGGGATGAATGCGGACCAGAACGAAACACGTGGCATCATAGACTGAACATCAAGATGTGATTCGACATGCGAGCCAACCTTGTTTAGGGACTCAGGGCTTGCACACACACAAGGTACATGGGTGTGCAAGTTTAACACTAGCGTCTTATTATCTTATTAATGAATTATTGGAGAGAAGTATTTTGTGAAGATGGGGTCGTGGGCGCAGTGCTGCAGCAACACATGGTAGACTTCCAATAAGAGGTGCGGGAACCGATCTCTGAAGTACCTCTCAAATCCATCAGGAAGCGGACCTAGAAGCTCCTGTATGGAAACAGAGATAAACAGCAAGGTACACAGCAGAACAGTGAATACTCGATAGAATGACAAAACGGACCACCCACCAAAATCCAGGTGCAACAGCAAAGACGACGAAAACAAAAACTTTATCCCCATGCGTGGGAATGAACAACAGGCATGCGTACTCTCTCCTCTCCTCACCTGCAGCTCGGGCGGCAGTTCCCGGTAATGATTGCACTTGTTCCGAATCACCCTTAGCAGGTCCCTCACACTGTGGAAGTTATACCGCCTATACTTCCCCAGATTCCCCAGCAGCGCCCCATCCACACGCTCATTCCACCCGCCACCCTTCTCCCCAGGCGCTTTACTAATCCCCCCCTTGCGAGCTATGGCCCTGGGCGCCACTGCCTCTAGGGCGTTGAGGAGTGGCGAGTGCAGCTCTCGGTCTTCCCCCTCCACGCGGTCGCTGGCGTCTCGTAGGAACGCCAGCCGCTGCTCTGCTGGCCAGAAGAACGGGTGCCTCTGCACCTCGTGCGCTGGGGGCCTGTAGTGGGTGGGTAGTGGGCGAGGGAGAGTGGGGGAAATAGTTGTTGAGGCGCCTCAAGGGATGGCCCTGGGCGCCACTGCCTCTAGGGCGTTGAGGAGGGGCGAGTGCAGCTCACGGTCCTCCCCCTCCACGCGGTCACTGGCATCGCGCAGGAAGGCCAGCCGCTGCTCTGCCGGCCAGAAGAGCGGGTGCCTCTGCACCTCGTGCGCTGGCGGCCTGGTGATGGACGGTGGCGGGAGGGGTTGGTTGGGAAAACAGACGTGTGAGCGGGCAAGAGTGGGAGGGAATGATGACGTATCAGGTGGTGGTGGGACGTGCGGCCCGCAGCAAGTCAGCACCGACACGCCCTGCACTCACCTTTCCTGACCTTGAATTCTTCCCTCACCATTCCACCCTTCACGCACCTCTTCTCAGGATCCCTGTCAAGCAGAGCAGCCACGAGATCCAGAGCCTCAGGCACGTGGTCGATGGGGAACAGGTCCGCCCTCCCTGCCAGGACTGGGTGCTTATTGAGTCGATCAGGAAGAAAAAGTTACTTCCTACTCTATCCTTCACGCACCTTTTCTCAGGATCCCTGTCCAGCAGAGCAGCCACGAGATCCAGTGCCTCAGGCACATGGTCGATGGGGAACAGGTCCGCCCTCCCTGCCAGCACGTTCGCATCGCGCTCAAACCACTCTCCGAACGGGTGGCTGCCGCCGCTCACACAGAAGAACACCAGGCACCCAAACGAAAACATGTCCACTGATTTCGTCAGCCGCGACCCGTCCTCTAGCTGCTCCGGCGCTTGCCACCCGCTGCTGCCCGAGCCTGCTGTCATTGTGTCGAAGGAACTTGCTCCGTCGCCGAGCCTCTTGCTTATCCCCATGTCTGATAGTTTGCCCCGCATCCGGACCTCCAGTAGCGGTATGGCCCGAGCCAGGGCTGCTGCGGCGGCAGAGACAGAGGCAGCTGATGCTGTGACTGCTGCAGCTGTCGCTGTTAGGGCGGGAGGACCAGCATCTGGCGTTGCTGCTGATCCTGCTGCTGATTCTGCTGCTGATCCTGCTGCTGATGCTGCTGCTGATCCTGCTGCTGATCCTGCTGCTGATGCTGCTGCTGATCCTGCTGCTGATCCTGCTGCTGTCCCTCCTGGGGCTGCATCTCCCCCTGAAGTCGACAGCACAGCAGGAGACCCAAACTCGTCACCCGCCCCCAACCCACCCTTACCCCCATTAACCACTCCTGCACTCGCCCTAGCCTGTGACTGCCCGCGCTGCCGGTGCCGGCTGGGCAGCAGCAGCGAGATGAGCACATTGTGGGGCTTTAAGTCCCGGTGCACAATCCTCTGGTCATGCAAATACGCAAGCCCACTAGCCACGTCCCTTAACAACCCCACCAGCTGTTGTGTCGGCTGGCCCTTGTCGTCCCACAGGCACAGCCCCTGCACCCCCACGCCCTGCGAGGTGCAATAGGCCTGTACCCGCTCCAGTGCTGCTGCTATGATTTCTCGTTCGGCAGAAGAGGATGGGGAGAGGCGGAGCGAGAGCGAGGGGGTTTTGAGGTGGAGAGGCGGGTCAGAGAGAGGGAGCGAGGAGGAGGAGGAGGAGTGAGAGGAGAAGGCGGAGGAGGAGAAGGTAGTGGTGGAGGAGGAGGTTTGGAAGGGGCTGGTGGGAGGCTTGTGGGAGGAGGACGAGGTGGAGGCGGGCGAAGCAGAGAAAGGCCCTGCAGCATCACCAGCAGCAGCGCCACCAGCGGCACCGTCAGCAGCAGAAGCAGCACCGGAAGCAGCAGCAGCAGCAGCAGCACCAGCAGCAGCAGCAGCAGCAGCCGGTGCTGGTGGTGCCATAGCGGCAGCGAGGCTAGCCCGGCATGCAAGCACGAGATCAGTGAGGTTGAAGGCGCAGCGCTCCAGCGCGACATACACAAACGACTCATCCTCCTCCATGGCAAAGCACCGCACCACATTCGGGTGCTCGTCCGTGGCAATCAGCGCGGCAATCTCCTGCCTCGCGCGCTCGTAGAACTGAGACAGGAGCCGCTTCACCGCCACCTGCCGCCCCTCCAGCCGCCCCTCCAGCACCAGCGTCCCATGGCTCCCGTGCCCGATCACCCGCCGGGATACAAACAGCCGCCCCACCCACCGCCCCTCCTCCCGCTCCTCCCGTTCCTCCTCGCTCTCCCCCTCGCCTGCTGCGCCGTTGTCAGCCCCGCCCCCACCCGCGCCTTCCCCTGGCCCTTCATTATCGCGGCTGCCTCGCCGGGAGATCACCTTGCCTGCGCTGTTCTGCCTGCTTCCACTGCCCAGCTTGCCCACACTTCCCAGAAGCCTGCTCAGCCTCCCCCCCCCAGATTCGCCCTGCCCCGAGTCCTCCTTTCCTGCTTCCCCTGGGTCGTCCTGTCCAGGTGGCGCGATCCCATTGGCCGGGTCGTCCTGCTGCTTGCCCAGCAGCACTCCTTCCGCTCCCCCTGCTGCTGCTTCACTGCCTGCTGCTCCTTCTGAACTCTTGTTCCTCCTACCGGCTCCCTGCTTGCCTCGTTTCCTGCTGCTGCTGCCATTGCCACTGCCGTCCCCACCTAACCGCTCAGCCGCCCACTCTTGCCAGGAAGCTGGCAGCAGCGCAACCAACCCTCGTGCCACCCACGACAGCCCATCCTCATTAGTAGCCCCTCCTCTATACGCCACCCTGGCACTGGGCGCACCATTCATGTGTGAAGCATGCCTGGGAGGGTGAGAGGAGGAGGCCTGCCTAAGCTGCGACTTCAGCCTCTGATTCCTTACAGGGGTGCCATGGCCAGATGCAGCCGCAGCCGCAGCAGAGGAGGAGGATGGGGCAGAGGAGGAGTAAGAGAATACCGAAGCGCCAGCGACTATCCCGGCCAGGGTGGCAGCTGCGGCAGCGAGGATCCCAAACGAGGTCATGAGGTTCGGCGGGGTAGGCGGAGCCTGGGGCCCGACCGCAGGCTCCATGTCCTTCGGGGGCCCCAGACGGCGGTTCTTCTCCCCTCTACCTCCACCAAACTCCATGTCCGCGTTACTAGCAACTCCAATAGTGTCACCGGCGCCAGTGCCGCGCCCCCACAGGCTGATCATGCCGGTCCATCCCAGTGGGTCCTCCCCATCCGCGCTGCTGCTCCTCTCGCTGCCTGCTGCCACTGGACTTGGCGCTCTCTGCTGCTCCATGCTGTAGTGCTGCTGCTGCTGCTGCTGCTGCTGCTGCTGCTGCTGCAGCTGCTGCTGTTGGTGCTTACTGTATCCCTGCTGTTGCTGTCCCTGGTGGTCGTTCCAGGGGCCCTGCGCTCCATACTCAGCGCCCGGCGAGTCAGCGCCCCCGTGCACAGCAGGGCTGTCAGCGCACCCCATGGCGTCATACAGAGCAGCCGTTGCCCCCGGCGCCCTCACCACTATGGGGTACAGCGAGTCATCCCCACTGCCACCCCCACCGCTGCCACCACCACCAGCACCACCAGTGCCTAACCTGCCCCTATTTCTACCCCTGCCCCTACCACCACCGCCAGTCCCATCACCAGCTTCCCCAGCAGCACCTCCTGCTCCTCGCGTCCCTGCAATCCTGGGCGGCTCTGTGACTGTGAACTTGCCTGTCCTACCCGCCACCGCGCCACCACCCCCCATTCCCCCACCACCCGACATGCCTGCAGACATGCCCACAGGCAGGCCATCGGAGGGCGAGGGGGAGTGAGGTGAGGCCGGGAGGAGGGGGAGAGCGGCGTTCGGTGCGTCAGTGGTGCTGGGAGTGACGAGGGCGAATGGACTGCCCGCCACTCGCCCCACATACAGCACCTGCCCGGGCCCCGTGTCCTTGGACGAATCGCGCGACACGAATTCCTGCACCAGCCTGCCCGACGGCGTGAACGCTGCGAGCGGGGCAGACGAAAAAGTCGTCTGCCATGCCTGCTGACCATTATGCGAGTTGGTCAGCTGGATTGAGTAAATGTCAGAATTACCCTCTTCAGATGGGTCTATACTCGTGGTAGCTGCAGCGGTCAACCCTGTGTTGAATCCTGCCAACCCTGAACCTCCAATCTCGTCTCTACCCCCCTGCCCTTGTCCCCCCGCTCCAATACCCAGATCGATTTCTGGGTCCGTATCTTCTCCAGGAACGCTGGATGGCAAGAGCTGTCGTTTAGGCACCTCATTCCCATGACCATCAAACACGCCTCTACCTGTAAGATCCATCCCTGATTTTCCCCTTCCGCCTCCCCTTCCTGCCCCCAGCGCTCCCCCCAAAACTCCCCCGATTGGTGCTCCGCCCCCCACGCCTCCCGCTAGCCCCAGCAGAGCTCCATTCACGGGGCTCAGCTCGCCGAAGCTGACATTCCACCGCTGCTTGCCGGACCTGAGCTCCACCGCCCGAACCACATAGTCGGTTCGGAGCACCAGAAGGGACGAGGCAAGCAGGCGATCACACTCCTCCTCCTTCTGCTGCTGCTGGTGTTGCTGCGATACACCTGCTACCTCCCTCTCACTGCTCCTAGAACCTTCCAGGAACCCAACGCCATCAACGCCCATGCCTCCACCGCCCTCTTCTTCTGCCATTTTCAGGCACTCCGCCAGTGGGCCGTCCGCCTGCTCGTCCCCATCATTACTAGTCGCAGAAAAGGACAAGCCACCGCCGCCCTGAGGAGCGAGCGGGTCGAAGGAGCGCAGCACAGCGCCTGTGACTGGGTCGAGCAGGAAGGCCGTTGATTTCTGCGATCCAACGATCACGGTGGCGCCGTTGCGGGTGACTGAAGGCGAGGCGGAGACGAGCTCTTTGGCTGTTACGGGCAGCTCCTGGGGGAATGGGGGTGAAGGAACGAAAAGAGGGGGAAGGGGGATGATTATTGGTAGGCCATGGTGGGAGGTAGGTAAGACCAGGGGAGGAGAGCGGGAGGGAGGGAAACGCGTTGTGTGGGGAGGGGAGGGCGAGAGGCAGCTTCTATGGTGTGGAGTGTAGAATGAGGGTATGAGAACGGTGATGCGACCTAACAGGCATGAAGGGTGAAGCAAGACAATGCCGGCAGATGCCAGACAAGACATCTCCCTACCTACCCTGAATTCGCCTACACGCCCACCACGCGCATGCACCTCCACGCATACGCACTTGCCACATCAATCCATCCACGCACATACAGATTCCCTCCACGCATGTGAACTTATTTTTATTCCACGCACATGCAAAATCCAATCCACATACGTACCTGCAAGCCAAGACCTTCCCTGTAAGAGTACAGGCGCCCATTCACCCCCGGAATAACCATCTCCTTGCCCCCTCCTCTCCCCCTCCCCTTTCCCACCTCCCCCTTCCCGCTACTCTTCCCACTCCCGAGACTCCCGCCACCCCCACCGCCATGCGCACCATTCTCCCTTCCGCTCCTCACTCCCCCCCATCCCCACTCCTCCTCTCCCTCCTCCTCATCCTCATCCTCCTCATAGTCCCAGTCCACCTCATCTCCCCTGCCCCATCGTTCCGCCGTCGCATGCCTAGCCTTTCCCGCTTGCGCACTCTCTTCCGCTCCCCTCCTCCCTGCACCTTCCGCCAGCCCCCCTTCCGCCAGTCCCCGTTCCGCTCCTGCTCCCTGCGCTGGACCGGCGGCGGAGACGAGCGGCTGGCCGGACGCGAAGGTCCATTTCACCTCGCCGGTTCGCGAGTCTACGGCTCTTATCGAGCCGTCTAATAGCGTGATTAGAACATTCGACGAGGAGGATGGTCTGGGATGGGTCGGGAGGTGTAGTCATTGGGAACAAACGATAGGAATCAAATTTGTTCTTGGGACTGAGACTCGAAGCGAGGGGGTCATAGGGATAAGGATAGGTGAGGGATTGGGAAAGGGGTTGAGAAGAAACAATATATTCCAAGAAGCGAACTGAGTGAGAACTGCGAGACGACTGCTCCCAAAAAGTGAATACGCTGGGCACGGAACTGCAAACGAAAAATGAATGCATTACAAGAAGCAGCCGGGTGTTTTTGGTGGAAACGGTTGGACCTCGGAAGAAGTGTCGATTGCGAGGGAACAATGGTGCCGACAGGTCCGTCTGAGGCAGGATCAGCGGTTATTCCGCGCGTGTCTTTAGAATCGACAAACGGCACCGCTTCTTCAGAACTGCGGTGACTCGGACTAAGCTTGGGACTGGTAATATAAGCTGATTTCTTGGGTTCCTCATTGGAAGATTCTTTGAGGTTGCTGGCGTTTGCTACCCGGCTGGAGGCGAAGAGAAGCAGGGCGATAATAAACACGACTCGGAGGAATAGGCCGGAATTGCCACGTGTGAAGCAGTCCCGCCACCAGTCATGCTCGCTCGGTTGCATTGCCAAGCTCCGACGGTCTACTATCGAGTACGCATGTGAGTCGCAACGACGCGAGACGGAAGGGCTCGAGCACGGGCTACCGATGTGATAGGACGGCTACTGCAGGCCTGGAACTGTAGTCGAAGGGTAGAAGCTTAGGAGAAAAACGAATCCGCAAATTGCTGGCAGGAAGCTAGGGAGCAGGGGGTTGTGCTTGCGAACAGGTATGGATGGTTGGGCGAGTGGTGTCAAAATGTTTTTAAATCTGTTCCGAATCACACGGACTGCTACGTAGCCCAGAAAGCACCAGAGATCCAACAGACAGTTGAGCAGGTAAGTCCCAGTGCTTACACATGCGGGCAGGAAAATCACCCACAGGCACCCAAAAGCCCAAGGCAGACCCCCTAAAAAGCCAAAACCCGAGGCAAGGGTTTCCCGCCAAGGCCGCGTCAAGCTCGAGGGCAGAAGAGGTAGCTGCTCAAGCTGCCGAAGCGAAGGATTGGGTATGGTGCGGAGGCGCGGAAAACATTCTGGAATGTGGGGCTGACCGCATCCCTCCGCCTCGATCTGTGAATACGCTAGGGAAATGTTCCGCGGATGACAGAAGGCTTGGCGTGGCGGTGTGGTCTGAGCACCTGAGCTTCGGGGAAGCAACAGTTCTCGAAGCATCCTAGCAGCACCAACACACAGGGTTTTGATGAACTCAAATCCGACAATAAACATAAGAGTAGTCAAATTGAATTCATCTAATTAATACGTTAACCACGTCCCACGTCCAAGAAGGCAGTCGTACCACCATCAGAGTCCCGTGACACATTGAACAGCGGAGGCAATGTTGGTTTCTCAAGAAACTCCCCTTCTGCAGAAGCTGGAAAATCACGTGCTTTGAGACTGATGGGCGGAAAGGTAGTAGACAACATTTCACGCCCAGCGGTACTCATGGAAGAAGAAGCTTCCACATGTCTAACATCCTCCTCTTCATGCTTCTGGATATGCCCCCTTTGCTGCTTAAACCGGTTCCAGAGATTCCGTGGCGACTGTACCTCGTTGTTTGACAAAACCTTCACGATGGCTCTCTTCTCTGCATCGCTCCCATGGGAGTGTGCAGGAGACATGACCGGAACCTCGGAACCTGCTCTTGCTGTCTGCACCTGGTTATTGCTCGGTGCAGCGGACGCCTTTGACTCTCGGACCTTAGATACGGTAACTTCCATTCCCTGCTGCTCTTGATGTACAAATGGCGCCTGCTCCAGCTGCTGCTGCTGCTGCCTCTGCTGTTGCATCCATGGCTGCTGCATTGGAAGCTCCTGCTGCTGCGGCAGCTGCTGTAGCGACTGTGGCTCCTGCCGAGGCTGCTTCGCCAGTTGCTCAAGCTGCTGCTGCAGGGACTGTTGCTGCTGCGACCACACCTGCATCATCTGCAGCACTGGCTCAGACGTCGCCTCTTGACCCTGTTTCGTCTCCGGACCCAAAACCCCCTCCACTGCATCCGCCTGCTGCTCTCCCCTCCCCATCTGCTCTTCAGTCGGTACTTGCCGTGTGTGTTGCACCAATTGAATTTCTGGCTGCTCGATCTGCTCCCTTCTCGACTCTGCCTGCTGCTCTTGTTGCTGCTGCTGCTGTAGCTGTTCCTTCTGCTGTTGCTGCTGCTGCTGGTGCTGCTGCTGTTGCTGTTGCTGCTCCTGCTGATGTTGCTGCTGCTTCTGCTGCTGCTGCTGCCATTGCTGTTGTTGCTGCTGCTGCCATTGCTGCTGGTGATGAAGTTGCTGCTGCTGTTGTTGCTGCTGCTGTTGTTGCAGCTGCAGCTGCTGCTGTTGTTGCAGCTGCAGCTGCTGCTGCTGCTGCTGCTGTTGCCACTGGTGCTGCTGCTGCGGCTGCTGCTGCTGCGTTTGCGCTTGCAGCAGCTGTTGCATCATCTGCTGCTGCTGCGTCATCCACTGTTGCATCACGGCTGCCTGCTGCTGCAGCCACGCCTGCTGCACCTGCTGCATCTGCTCCCATTGAACTTGTTGCTGCAGCTGGCTCTGCTCAGATGTTCCACCACTTCTCTCCCGTACAGGTGAAACAGACACCTGTCTGCTTCTCCGCCGCCTCCTCTGCCTGCTCCGCTGGTAGTACTGCTGCTCGCCCTCCTCCCCACCAATACCACTCGCCCTCCCCTCCCCGCTCCCACCAGGCCCCTCACTCACCGAGTCACTGGTGCTGCTGCATGCAAGCGCACTGCTGTGTGTGCCTGTGCTTCTGGTTACGCCTTGAGGGGAAGCAGATTGCAGGAGAGTGGATTGCAGGAGAGTGGGGGGCGATTGAACGGGAGTGGGTGGCAGGAGAGCGGTGGTGGGGACGGGCGGGGGAGAGGGGGATACTGAAGGGAAGGGCGGATGAGAAGGTAGCAGCAGTGAGGGGGGGAACGGTGCAGGGGGGAAGAGGGGAGGGACAGAAGAGGATGTGAAGGGGGGGAGTGGAGTGGAGGGATGTGGAACTGGGATTGGGGCAGATGATGCAAACAATGGTGTGGTGGAGAGGGGTGGGAAGGGTGAAGCAGGTGGTGGAGATGGCTTTTGAAATGCCTCAAGTGTGGTCTGGGAAGGGGATGGTGCGGGGAAAGTGGGAGGTGGAGATGGGGTGAAAGATGGCGGAATGGTGGGGACCAATACGCTTGCTCCTCCTCCCCACGTGGTTGCTGGTGGTGCTGGTGGTGCTGATGGTGCTGATGGTGCTGGTGGTGCTGATGGCGTTGATGTTGCTGGTGGTGCTGGTGGTGCTGATGGTGTTATTGGCAGGTGAGAAGGGAGAGTGGATTCAGCAGCAGTGTGGGTGTGATCAGGCGAGGCAGTGAAGGAGGAGGGTGGGGAATGAGAGGCGGTAGCAGCAGTCAGAGAGACAGAGCGGTTGGTGGGGGGCGTAGGGAAGGGAGGGAAGGGAGAAGAAGTAGACGAGGACGAGTGAGAGAGCGGGAGGGAAGCAGCGGGGGCTGTGGTGGTTTGTGGATGGATGGAGAAAGCAGAGGAACGGGGCGGCAGGAAGGAGGGAGGAGAGACGAAGTGGAAGGATTGGGAGAGGGAATGTTGCGAGGAGAGCGCCTCAGAGGAGGCAGAGGAGGAGTGCTGCGCGGTGGCAGTAGTAGCAGGAGCGGTAAAAGCAGGTGGTGGTGCTTGCAGAGGGGCAGCAGCAGCAGCAGCAGAAGCAGAAGCAGCAGAAGCAGCAGTGGGCAGCGGCACGAAGTGTTTGAGAATCTTTCTCTGCGGCACCACAATGCTCGGAGGACCCAGCAGATCCTCTAACTCTTCCATCGCCCCACCTTCCGCTGCTGGCACAGCTGGCCCCCCTTCCTGCTCCACCCCCGATATGCCATTCCGCCCTGACACTGCTGCATCTGTATCCCCCCCTGCTCGGCCTTGCTGCTCCAACCCATTGTCCAGCACAGAGAAAAGGGCACTGGTCAGTTGTGACGTCGCTGCCAGCTTGTGAGGTGCGTCAAAACAAGTCTGCTCCGATGCACTGCCCGGCCTTGAGAGAAGCGCACTGCTCGGCTGTGACGCTGCTGCCACCTCTCTCCCCGATTCCACCCGCTGTCTCTCCACACCTCCCTCTCTCGCTGCTTCTCCTCGCCTCTCTGCATCCGCTCGTGCTTCCCCACTGGGAACCCCTCCCCCCACCTTCAACTCCTGGAACTTCTGCCACAGGGATACTGGCTCCCGCACTCTCTCCCGCCCCTTCTTCTCACCGCCACCCTGCCTCTGCCTTGTAATGTCCCCATCTGAGGCTGGATCCGCCCTTCCAACCCGAGCAGCAGCAGCAGCGAGATTATCATGATCCCTTTCCACATCGGAGGCTGAACTCGCCCTTCCAATCCAAGGGGCTGCCGCAGCAGCAGCGTTCTTCCTTGGCGCGTCTACATCTGAGCCTGCATCTGCCCGTCCACTCTGAGCTGGGTCACGGGCGACTGGATCAGGTGCAGTGAGTTGTGGAGCGGTGAGTTGTGGAGCGGTGGGTTGTGGTGCTGTGGGGTGAGGTACAATGGGGTCCATGACTCTGATGGTGGGTGCCGGGAGGGAGATGAGGGAGGAGCGGTGGTGGGGGGGATTGTTATTCAAGAGAGGGTTCGCAGGGGAGGGAGAGAGGGGATCTGCAGGGTTGGGAGGGAGTGGGCGAGAGGCAGTGAAGGGTGAAGCAGGGGGAGAGAGAGGAGCAGGGGGTGATGGAGCGGAGTTGGCGGGGGAAGAGGGGAAGGGGGAAGAGGGGGATGTAAGACGGCGGGGAGAGGAGGGGGGGGCAGCACTCTCAGCCTCATCCCCCCCTCCACCTCTCTCCAACCCTCCTCGCAGCGCACTGTATCTCTCTCCCCCATGTGCTGCCTCCTCCCCTCCATCCCGCCGTGACCTTTCCCTCACACTCAAGCCAATCCGCCCCCTGCTCCCCGCCTCTTCATCTCCCTTTCCTGCCGCCTCGCATCCATTCCCATTCCTGCCGGTCGCCTGTCCACCAACCAGCTGCCCTGCGCCTGCCTCACCATCGTGCCGCCCTGCCCCTGCCCAGCTGCTGGACCTGCCAAAGAGGGGAAAGCGCCATTTGCTTTCCCTAGGCGACCTGCCTTCCCCAGATGATCTGCCTTCACGGTTTGCCTTATGTTCCCGCGTTGACCTGCCTTCCCACATTGACCTGCCCCGCTTGTGGCTGGGACTACTAGCGCCCTCACTGCCCCGACTGCTCGCTCTGCTACTCGCCCTGCCGCTGCGACTCTCCCTCCCACTCTCCCTCCCACTCTCCCTCCCACTCTCCCTCCCACTCTCCCTCCCACTCTCTTCCCTGCTCTCACGCTCACTCCCTCTTCCCGACACACTTCCTCTCTCGCTCTTCTTCTCCCTCTCCTCCCACTTCGTTCTCCCACTCTGCTCACTTGCACCTCTCCCCTCATGTCCACCATCCCCATCACCGTCAGAAGGCGCCACTGCCAGGTCAGCATCCAGTGCCACGTCACTTCCTCCCTCCCTCCACTCTCTAGCTGCCTTTGCTGCTGCCCTTGCTGCTGCCTCCAACAGCCTTCGCTGCGCTCCCCCTCCCTGCCCCCTCTGCTCCACCTCTATCACACCTCGCTGCGCCCCCTCTCCCTGCCTTCCTTGCACACTTCCCCCCTCCTCCTCCTCCTCACACCCCCTCTCTCTCTCCTCTCGTAGCATAGCCTTTCCCTGCTTCGCCCACCACCGCTCTCTCTCCCGCTCCTCTGGCTTTACACCGCTGGCAGCAGCTGCAGCGGGGGTGGCTTGGAGTGGGAGGGGAGGCACAGAGATGAGGAGTGAGGGGGCCAGGGAACCAGACCCCCCACCTCCTTGCAAACCAACCCCAACCCCAGTCCCAACCCCAACCCCAACCCCAGCCCCAGCCCTAACCCTAGCCCCAGTCCCAACCCCAGTCCCAGCCCCAGCCTGAGGTGGAGCAGCAGGCATAGCGTGAGTGTGAAGCAGTGCAGCAGCAGCGGGTGCATCAGGCGTGGCAGTGGACACATCTGCCCACCGCGACGACTGCAGCCTGGGGTTCCCCAGTGGGGACGACGCAGAGGACGCGGAGGGGGCGGAGGATTTTGAAATGATGGAAATGGAGAGGGAGGTTTGGGCAGAAGGAGAAGGGGATGTGGAGTGTGGGGGGTTTGAGGGGAGGAGAGAGGGAGGAGGGAGGGGTGCAGGTGGGGAGGAGGGGTTTGCAGTGAGGTCCTGCAAGCTGGAGCTTCGCCTCTCTGCCTGCTGCTGTGCCTGCTGCTGCTGCTGCTGCTGCTGCTGCTGCAACCCTAAGATTCCTGTTCTTGGTACAGAACCCGTGAACAGGGGAGCTAGCCGCTGCTGTTGCTGCTGCTGAGCCCACTGCTGTTGTGTTTTCCCCTGCTGCGTCTGCCCCTGCTGCCCATGCGCTGTGACAGTAACGAGGGCTGATTCTGACCGGGGGCTGGTAGAGGATGAAGGGGGGAAGGGGAAGGGAGCAGGTGCCTGGGAGGGGGATGAGATGCGGGAGGAGGAGCGGGAGGAGGAGCGGGGCTTGTGAGTCGACTCGAAGGCAGCCTGGGAGGGTGAGGAGAGGCGAGAGGAGTGGGATGAAGAGCGGTGGGAAGTGGTGGAGATGGTGGTGGGAAGGGGTGGGTACACCTGAGGATTTCGTGCTGATGCTGGGGAGGAGCTGTGTGGGGTGGGGTGGGGTGGATGGGAGGGGGGAGGGCGGAAGTGAAGCATAGCATGTGAGGACAGCCATTGAGTTATGCAAGCATGGCATTGAGTTATGCAAGAATGGCATTTGCAGGGGGCGACAATTTGGGAGGGAGGGGGGCAGACTGTGGGGTGATGGTGATGAGATGACATAGCACAGTTGGACAGCATGCGGAGCGATGGTGATGAGATGACATAGCACAGTTGGACAGCATGCGGAGCGGGGCCGTACAAAGGCGATTGCGAGAGCACAAAGGGATGCTTCAAGTGAGTGGTGAAGGCAGCAGGCGATGAGCCCAACATGGCTGCGAGATCATGCATGTGGGACTGCCTTGCCTCTCCATGAGCATCTGGGCATACTCGCCCTTTCAGAGCACATGGCTGCTGCTTACTAAGGGGAGTGTGCGAGCACGAAGGGGTGGCGCAGCAGGGCCGTAGCAGCGGGGCGGCGGCGCGGGTCGAGGTGCAGACAGCTGGCGATGAAGTCTGCGAGATCCTCCGACAGACCCGGTGGGATGGGCGGAGGCACCTGCGTTCCTGCTATCTTCATGAAGGCCGTTTCCTGGTAAGGAGGTGAGGTGGGGGAAGGGGCAGGTGGAGGATGGGCAGGTGGGGACAGGAGCGAAGCTTGGATTACTGTGGTTTGGGATGTTTGCACTCACGGGGCCAAAGCTGCGGCCCCAAATGGGACCGCCGTTGGTGGGGTGGAATTAGGGCGACCAGAGCATGTGGGGCATGTGGGATATGAGGGGCAAGTGGGACACTGGCAATAGAGGGTTCAGTCAAACCCCACGTTTGTGAGGGTTCAGTCAAACCGCACATTTGTGAGGGTTCAGCCAAACCCACATTTGTGAGGGTTCGGTCAAACCCCACATTTGTGAGGGTTCAGTGAAACCCCACATTTGTGAGGGTTCAGTCAAACCCCACATTTGCGAGGGTTCAGTCAAACCCCACATTTGTGAGGGTTCAGTCGAAGCGATTGTGGGGTTAGTAGCTGCTAGGACAATTGCACCCACGGGTCCGAAGCCATGGCCCCGGATGGCGCAGCCGTTGGCAGGGAGCAAGCAGGGCAGCCAGAGCGTGTGGGGAATGTGGGGCACGTGGAAAGGGGTTAGTTGAACCACTTGTGGGATTCGCAGATAAGAAGATTGCCCATTTGTGTGGCAGTCACGATGAGAGGGAACTCACAGGGCCGAAGCCGCGGCCCCAGATGGGGCAGCCGGAGGCGGGGTGGAACCAGGGCGGCCAGAGCGTGACCATCTCTATCACCGTGCAGCCCAGCGACCATATGTCCACCGCCCAGTCGTAGCCTCCCGATGCATTGATAACCTTGAAGAGGTGGGGATGGAGGGGAGGGGAGGGTGGGAGGGGAGGGTGGGAGGGGAGAGAAGGGATGGTTGTGGGGTGAAAGACTAGGGCAGAAACGTCAAGTGCGTCGAGAGTGAAATGGCAGGGGAGGAGGGAGGCGGAGGGGGGAGCGGGGAGGGGGGAGGGGGGAGGGGGGAAGGGAAGGATCAATGAGAACTGAACAGTGTATGGGCCACAGCACACAGATGCATCCAAAGAATGCCACCCATCACAGATATCACCTGCCCCACACTTAGCCTACCTCAGGTGCTGCATACCTCAGGTGCCATCCACCAGACAGTGCCACGGCAGCCCGTCATGTCCAACGATGCTGAGTACTGTGATGGGGGGCCGGCGAGGAGGGGGGGAGGGATGGAGAGATGGAGCGGGGGATGGGATGGGAGGAGAGGAGCGATAGGATCGAACGTGAAGTGGTGAGATGGCAGAACGGGGAATGACTTTTGAGACGTCTCAAAAGTCGTGAAGTGGTGAGATGGAGGAAGTGGGAATGTGTCAAGTGAACTTCGAAAGACATTTTCGAATCCTCAGAGTCTCTCACACGCCCCCCCATTCACACACACGCCCCCCCGCTCACACACACACCCCTTCCTCACACACATTCCGCGACTCACTCACACGCCCCTCCCCCCAACGCACATGCTTGGCAAGGCCAAAGTCAGCGAGCTTGATGGTACCGCTCTTGTCCACCAGGATATTGCTGCACTTGATGTCCCTGCATGCCATGCACGCATGTGTGGGTGGGTGGGTGGGTGGATGGATGGGTGGGTGGGTGGGTGGGTAGGTGGGTGATGGCAGGGGTGGGGTGAGTGATGAGTGATGGCATGACACCCGTGGATGGGTGGGTGTTTGATGGTGCCGCTCTTATCCACCAGGATGTTGCTGCACTTGATGTCCCTGCATGCATGGGTGGGTGGGTGGGTGATGGCATGGGTGATGGCATGGGTGGGGTGAGTGACGAGTGATGGCATGACAGGCATGCACGCATGGGTGGGTGGGTGGGTGGGTACATGGGGTTGACCAAAACTGTGAACAAACTCCATGGAGTGCAGAAAGGCGGGTCCCTGCCTGCAGCACCTGTGGGAAAACACCACACAAGTCTCATCCCCATCATGCAGGCGCCCATGCTGCTCACCTGTGAACGAACCCCATGGAGTGCAGGAAGGAGCCCCTGCAGCACCTGCCGCACATACTTGCTGAGTGAGGAAAGCACTCGCACTTGCATCACCACCTCCCCTCATCCCCACTTCCCCACATCCCCACCTCCCCACCTCTCCCATCCACCTCCACTCACTGGTGGACGAACTCCATTGAGTGCAGGAACGCCAGCCCCTGCAGCACCTCCAGTCACCTGCCCTTGTGGGCGGCACCTGCACCCCCCACCCTCCCTTCCCCCCATGCCACTCACCGGTGGACGAACTCCATGGAGTGCAGGAAGGCGAGTCCCTGCAGCACCTGGCGCACATACTTGCTGAGCAGCGCGTGGGGGCGCACTGGCAGCTTCTTCAGCACGTTGAGGATTGACCCCATCTCCACGTACTCCAGGAATATGTACAGGTACTTGTCGTCCTGGAGGGGTGGAGAGCGGTGGGGTGCGGTGAGGAAATCAGACGCTTGGTAGCTCCAGCCTCCAGGCCCACATAGCACGTTGAGGATTGACCCCATCTCCACGTACTCCAGGAATATGTACAGGTACTTGTCGTTCTGGAGGGGTGGAGAGCGGTGGGGTACGGTGAATTGCCTTTAGAGGCGCCTCAAAGCTCAGTGAAGTGCGGTGGGGGATCCGATACTTGGTGGCAACACTGGTCACACCCTCACAGCCTCACCTCACACACTCGTACCCTCAGAGACAACACCATGCACTCTTATTCTCACAACCGAGGTACTGCATGGTGCACTGAACTGACTCTTGAGAATTCTCTGAGGTAGGAGGGAGCCGAGAGCACTCACGATTTCACAACCGAGGTACTGCATGGTGCACTGAACTGACTCTTGAGAATTCTCTGAGGTAGGAGGGAGCCGAGAGCACTCACGATTTCACAACCGAGGTACTGCATGGTGCACTGAACTGACTCTTGAGAATTCTCTGAGGTAGGAGGGAGCCAAGAGCACTCACGATTTCACAACCGAGGTACTGCACGATGTTGGGGTGGTTGATGCGACTAAGCAGCATGATCTCCTGCACCGTGCAGTGCGGCATGGCATGGGATGGCATGGGCATGGCATGGCATGGGATGGGATGGGATGGGATGGGATGGGATGGGATGGGATGGGATGGGATGTGATGGGATGGGATGGGATGGGATGGGACGGGTTAGGACGGCATGGAATAGGATAGCCGTGCATCACATGGCAACGCATGGCAGAGAACAAACAGAGTACGACCAGCTGCAGAGACATCTTATGGCTTGCTCACTTGGCAGCTGTTTCAGCTGCCCGCCCACACATTTGACCTTCCCAACCGCAAGTTGCCCGCCCCATGTGTTTAATCTGCCCGCGCAAGCACCTGTTTGAGCTGTTCGATGGAGTGGTCGCCCCTGAAGTCAGCATCGGAACGATCCAAAGCCACCTGCTTCACTGCGAACACCTCTCCTGTCATGCTACTGCTCAGGGGCACATGCAGGCGCACCGGGGGGGAATCAGCAGGGGCACAGAGGGCATGGGGGGCAGGGGCGTGGGTTGGGGGCGAGAAGTAGACAGGTCCGGGATGGCTTTTGGAGCCATCAACGCCACCTGCTTCACTGCGAACACCTCTCCTGTCATGCTACTGCTCAGGGGCACATGCAGGCGCACCGGGGGGGAATCGGCAGGGGCACAGAGGGCATGGGGGGCAGGGGCGTGGGTTGGGGGCGAGAAGCAGACAGGTCCGGGATGGCTTTTGGAGCCATCAACGCCACCTGCTTCACTGCGAACACCTCTCCTGTCATGCTACTGCTCAGGGGCACATGCAGGCGCACCGGGGGGGAATCAGCAGGGGCACAGAGGGCATGGGGGGCAGGGGCGTGGGTTGGGGGCGAGAAGTAGACAGGTCCGGGATGGCTTTTGGAGCCATCAACGCCACCTGCTTCACTGCGAACACCTCTCCTGTCATGCTACTGCTCAGGGGCACATGCAGGCGCACCGGGGGGGAATCGGCAGGGGCACAGAGGGCATGGGGGGCAGGGGCGTGGGTTGGGGGCGAGAAGCAGACAGGTCCGGGATGGCTTTTGGAGCCATCAACGCCACCTGCTTCACTGCGAACACCTCTCCTGTCATGCTACTGCTCAGGGGCACATGCAGGCGCACCGGGGGGGAATCAGCAGGGGCACAGAGGGCATGGGGGGCAGGGGCGTGGGTTGGGGGCGAGAAGCAGACAGGTCCGGGATGGCTTTTGGAGCCATCAACGCCACCTGCTTCACTGCAAACGCCTCTCCTGTCACGATGCTGCACGGGGGGGCATGGGACGAACGGAGGCGTGGGCGAGGAGGGGCGAGATGCAGACAGATTTGAAATGCACGAGAGGAGGCATGAGAGTCATTTGCAACAAAGCCAACTGCCTTTCACGCATTGAAACCTACCATGCCATGCCACCCTCCTCACCTCACGCATTGAAACACCTTCCCGAAGCCCCCTGCGCCGATCTGGCTGCCGCGCACCCACTGCCCCTTGGCCGGGCACACCGGCAGCGGGCGCGTGGGGGACAGCAGCAGGTCCGCGCCCGCCCCCAGCGGGGACAAGGGGTCAACGGACAGCAGGGGAAAGCCCGGTGGGAACGCGGACGTGGGAGGCGGGGAGTAGGCGGAAGGGGGAGGCGGGGGGGAGGCGGAAGCGGGAAAGGGGGAGAGCGCGGGTGCGTGCCAGGGGGCCTGGCGGGGGGCGAAGATGCGAGGGTCGGTGAGTGAACGGGTGATGGTAGGAGGGGACGTGGAGGAAGCTGCAAGGAAGGATTGACGGCCAAATCCCACCTCCGTTCCGATCCCAATCCCACCTCCCCCTGCTGCCACCGCCCCTGCTTCCACCGCTCCCACTGCTCCTCCCGTTCCGCCTGCGCCCCCTGCTCCTCCCCCTCCGTTGAAGGCCCCTGGCCCTCCCCATCCCCCCAAACCACCAGCAGCAGCCCCGCCATACCCGCTCCCAGGAAGCATATACCCGCCGACAGAGTGCATTCCCAAGGCCGGCTTTCCCTGCAAGCTCCCCTGCTGCTGCGCGCCCTCTCCCGTGCCACCTCCCCCCGCCGTCCCTCCCGCCCTTGACCCATTCACTGCCCCCCATGCTCCGCCTCCCCCACCCGCTGTCCCCCATGCGCCACCGCCGCTGCCCGCTGCTCCCGCCACAAAAGCGGGCGCTAGAGACTCCGGCCAGTCCCAAGGCGGAACGCCGGTCCAGCTGCTGCTGCTCAAGCCTCCGCTGGAGGCTCGGGAGAGAGACCGCCCGGTAGAGGCTTGGGAGAGCGGAGGTCCGGTGGAGGTTCGGGAGAGGTTTGATATGGATGAGGGGTCCGAACGGGTTGCGGTGACGTAGATGCCGGCAGGACTGACGTAAGAAAAGCCGTCTGCTTGGCCTGGAGGCGGCGACGTGGACAACAATGACGTGGCCCCGCCATATGCGGCAGCTGGCATGGAGGGTGAACGGTGCATGGCGATCAATTGATGCCAAGTAGACGGTTTCGAAATCTTATATGGCGGTTGTTACGAGTTAGAGGGGTGCAAACGGTTTCGGAATGCTACATGGCGGTCAGTACGAGCTACTATGAGACCCCGCCGGTTTAAAATTAAAACCCGCCAGTCCCCCGGAGGTAAGACTGGTTTTACCATGCTGCACGGCAGTCACTGCGAGCTCGCGCACAAACCAACCACGGAAATGCTTTTGAATACCACCGCTCCTACATCCCGGTCAGCACGAGCTGCTATGCGCTAGAATTGATGAACGACCGAAGGCCCTAACATGCTGCACGCAGGAGAAGGCGCGCTTGCATGCGATCCAGCCATGCGAATGCTTTCGACTCCTAGAACTCCTACATCGCAGTAACTAGGAGCTTCTACGACATTCTACGAGCTAGAAACTAGACGCGAAGCGTCCGAAGGGTCGAAGATGTGCATTGAAGTCGGCCGGCACTAGTGTCTACTATCTTGACGCGTCCGAGCGGTTTCATCTGGATGCGTGGATACTTCGAGGTGGATAATCTCATCTCAACTCAACAGACTTGACTGCTACGTCAGGGTATTACGATTGCTTTGAGAAACGTCACTTCCAAAATTTGTGGTGAGGTTGGTGGACAGAACGGTGAGGATGAGTGGTGGGAAGCGTTCGTCAAAATTTAGGCAAGCATTCGTCAAAACCATGGGAAACTTTCGCAATTGCTGAGCCCATGACCAGTAATATCCTCCAGCTGTAGTGGATCTAGCCTCAAACAGCGCGGTTAAGTATGGTTGAGAATGATTCTCCTTCCCAACGGTTAGAGCTTTACCCGATAGCCAACAGCTTACATAAACATATGTTTTAGGGCGTGTGTGATTTCTGGAAAACTGTTGAAGTTCTAACTCCAATAGCTTGCACTTTGGGAACACGTCTATCGAGTGTATCCTGCCGAGTAAAAGCTCTCTAAGTTTTCGAGCTTTTGCAAAGTTCGACCCCGGCCATACACGCCATTTCCTTGTGCTAATAAGTCTTCGCTCACTAAAGCCTTCCCTCTTGTGCATGGATGTCTCTCATGGCCTGGGAGAGAGCAGTTATTGGAGGGATTAGGTAGCAACCTAAGGTTTAATGGATTTAAATAACTTTCAACAATTCTTACGGTGCTGATGCCACCTGTTGCATGAGAGCCAAATGCTCATGCTTGGTGGCACATGATGCCCATAAGTAGGATGATTGCCTTATGTGTTGTGTCATGCTGTGTATTGCGCGATGATCTGTGCTGCGATGCTTCGTGTTGTGCGATGTTGTGTGCTGTGCAGAGCTATGTGTGATGCGATGCTGTGTGATGTGCAATGCTGCGTATTGTGCCATGCTGTGTAATGCGCTATGTTGTGTGTTGTGTCATGCTGTGTGCTGTGCCATGCAGTGTGCTGTGCCATGCTATATGCTGTGATGTGCTATGTGCTGTGCTGTGTGCTATGCCGTGTTGCGTGCTGCGCCATGCTGTGTGCGGTGCCAGATTAAAGGGAGTGCAACAGTGCAGGCAACAGGGCTGACGATATCAGGGTAATTACCCTGATTTCAGGGTGATTACAGGCTTCTGACTTGGTGGTCCCTGCAAACACAGGTTTTGTATTTTGTGAACTCTGATCCAATCAGAGAAGCTACTTAACGGACTTTGAATTCTTGTAACTAGGCTCAGAGTAGTGTACTTGCGGACTCTGTCTATGCAGGGTATGCGTTCCGTGGACCTTGAATGCGAGGGTATTGGGACGAAGTTTCCTAGAAGCTTCGTTTTGATAACCCCCTTGTGCGTAATCATTTCTTCGAGTGGCCCCATGTGAGGTACCCCCTTCACGCGCCCGTGAGTGACGTAATACCGACAAAGGAAAACACTGACGTGCTGTACATCACAGCTGGCAACAGCGCCAACGCAGCCAAATCAATGATACGGTGCTGCCACGCGCACCGCACAGTGCACAGCATGTGTCTGCCATTGGCCAGAATGGCCTGTTGACAGCATGCGGTGGCAGCCAAGGAGTCCGTGAATGAATTCGGCCTTGAATGCAACGACGAAGTCATCGTCGAATGTTGCCATCAAGTCCGTGGAATCGTGGCACGGTGGTTTCGTGCTCCCGCCATCTCCAACCTCCCCTTCCCTCCCTATACCAACAGCCAACGTTCCTTTGTTCACTGGTGTGTTCTTTCCATTACGTGCATTCATTGTCTCATTTTCCTCTCGTTCAGTTTAGCCACCAATGGAGGCCATGCCGGTCGACGAAGCTGCTCCGGACACTGGCCCCGACGAGCCGCCTGTAACAGCGAAACCAACAGCGCCGTCCCAGCCGGAAAAAGCTTCGAATGCTCCCCGCTCTGGGCTAGATTTTCTTAGACCTACGGCTGCTCCCGTCACACCTGAACCGCCTAGGTCTACCGTTCACGACTCTGCCCCGGTAGTAACCCCCGTCTCCTACTGCTTCTCCTATTCCCGTCCCGTTCACTCTCCCCCCGGCTGTTGCTGGCTGCAGCAAAGATCCTCCACCGCCCTCGCCCAGTCTTACTCCAAGCACGGTGCGGGTGTCCCTTGGCCCGCCGTCGGCTACTTCCGCTCCCAAGCGTGCGCGATCTGGTAAGTGGGCGCAGAGTACTCTGCTGGTGGGAGGCCGCCGTATTCCACCGCCGGAAAAGCCCGACGAGCCTGCACAGAAAGAAGCTGAGCTGCCGGAAGAAGGTGACATCCCGGTGCGCGCGGATACCGGCTCGCCGACACTCACGAAGATGCAGCTGCGAGAGCGGATGTACCTGGAGGCGAGTATTGATTACGAGACGAAGTGGGCGGGATACTTTTCTTGGCTTGTGTTTGGGAAAACCAAGGACGGTTTCCCGTACGTGAAGTGCAGCATCTGCATGTCATATGGTAAGGGGAACACGATGTACGCCATGCAGGGAGACGACGGAGGCCGTGACTTGCAGACGTAGTTGTTCCGGGCGCACGAGCATACGGACGCACACATGGCGGCGGTGGACCGCCAGATGAAGATTGCGGCGAGAATCCGCGAGGGGCATCAGGTGATTTCGGACTTCATCAACTCCGACGTCGAGGGCCGCCGCGCGATACGGCTGATGCGGTCGACTCAGTTCCTGTGCCAGTGCGACGCGCCGATTAGCATGTTTCCTAAGCTGATGCGGCATCTTGCGGAGCAGGACACGCCAGACATTCCCCGGCAGTCGTACGACGTTTATCTCACGCGGTAAGTGACGGTTCAAATTGTTTGCAAATTTAAACATGCACGTCAAACAACTTGCTTGACTATCGTGTACTGATCATTTCTCTATCCTTTGTTGCAGCTATGGCTTCCAGTAGATGGTCCACAGCATGAGCACTTACCTCACCCGGGTGCAGATGGACCACGTCCTGGCATCACCGTTCCTGGGCATCCACTGCGACAAGAGCACTGACCGCACGCGAGGGAAAAACATGATTGTGTACCTTACATTTCTGAAGAACCGCCAAGTTGCATGCGAGTTTTTCACTTTGCTGACGGTCGAGCGGTGTGATGCAGGGTCCTTGTTTGAGGTGCTTCTGAACCATCTTCGCTCCGCTGCCGTCGATGTGTCGAAGATCGTCGGCATCAGCACGGACGGGGCGTCGGTCATGACCGGGAGAGAGAACGGATTGGTGGCGCGTCTTCGTGAACACGTCCCTCATCTGTTCTCATGCCACTGCATCGCCCATCGGTATGTGAGTTGGTCTGTATTGTAGTATGTTATCTACGCTGATTGGTTTACTAACAAACCATAATACTTGTTCCCTGCTTTACACAGTGAGGCGTTGGCTGTGAAGGACGCCGCTGACTCAAACCCGGATCTCGACATGGTCGACAAGGTGGTGCGCACTGTGGCGACTCTGCTCGGAAACTTCAGCGTGTGGAGTCAGCGGTTCAAGTACCTGCAGCGTGTGATTTACAAGACCAACCTGGAAGTCCAAGGCATCCACACGGTGCGGTGGCTGTCTCGAGGAGATGCGGTGGCCAGGCTGTGCAAGGTCCTCGGCGCTTGCATCATGCTGCTCTGGGAGCACAATCACAAGGCGTACAAGATTGTCACCTGCTACAAGTTTCAGTTTTGTTTGTTTTTCTTGGCCGACATCTTGGCGGACATGAACGACCTCAACCGCTGTTTCCAGAGACGAGAGGTGAGGTCGCATGTTTGTATGATGTTGCTACGTGAGGTTCGTAACTGCACTGTTGCTCATCCTTCTCCCTCTTGTCTACCCCTGCTCTGACACAGCTGGACGTGACTGAGATTACGAAGACGATCGAGTCCACAACAAGTGACCTGATGGAGCGCTACTTGACGCCAGAGAAAGCTTTCGGGGGCAAAGGGAAGAGCTGGCTGGTGAACTTCCTAAAAGTCCACAAGGAGGGTGGAGGCAAGCAAGTCCGGGTGCGCGGCGTGGACGGTGCTGGATGTCCGATCAACCACCTGTACACCATGCATGAGCGGAAGCTGAAGGGGCACAAACACGGAAGCACCTACGCAGACTGCGTGAAGCTGTGCCGCAAATTCGCCCGTGACTGCGTGGACAACCTCAACAACCGACTGGATGACCTTGGGAAGCTGGGGCCGACGAAGCTGTTCCGGGCGGGGAAGTGGCCGAAGATCAAGGCCCAGCGAGAGAAGAAGTGTAAGGAGTGGCTGAACGGATGCAGCAGACTGTTCCGCAACAAGCTGCCGGGATTCGACCTCAAAGCAGCAGAGAGGGAGCTTCCAACCTTCTGCGCGATCATGGAGGCACACCATGAGATGGAGAGCTTCACCCAGGGCCTGTCCAACTTCCTTGGGAGCGCAGACTCCAAGAGGTAGCCTATACTTTGCTAACATGGGTTTTATAATCTTGTTGCGCATCGCTAACTGTTTCCGTTGTGTTGTGTGTATGAATGTGCCTGGCAGGAGATGGCCCAACCTCATCCTACTGTGGCAGGCGCTGGCTGTGCTCCCC